ATGTCTACTTGTGAGACATAAGAGGGTCCTATTTGGTTTGTAAATAAAACCCGAAAATACTTGAAAATACGTGTATACTTAAAAAAATTGTAAATTTAAGTACAGAGATGTTGTAATGACTCGATGTGATGAATAGAAAAAAATATATTTACTATCGGGTAGATTCACAAAAACTATTTGGAAACGTCATTATGTTTCTGTTGAATTTAATGAGCCGCCACTTGTAGAAATACTTGATATTGCTATTCATTGTGCGTAGGCGCATGCAGCTGCGCCATGCTCCCCCCGTTGAAAGGATTCTCTTTCAACTTAGGATCGTCTTCTGGAATGGGAAGGGGGCACAAGCGAACCAAAGCTCGTCGAAGGCAGCTTGTAGGAGTTCTGACGTCCGCCACTCGTACCACGCCATCATCCAATTCTGATAAGCTTTCCTGGGTACTGAGAGTTCTTGTGTTTAGTGTAGCTATATTAAATACTTCAGTTCTTCTTTTGCGAAGGTTTCTTTCTATTTGTATTTTTGTTGAAGGGTGTTGGTCATTTTGCCCCACGGTGACCAGCCGGCTTGGGGCGGTTGGTTTCATAGTTAGTTTGGTTATAGTTTGGCAGCTGTGGTTCCGGGTAACAATATTGTTTCTTAGTTTTTTGAGTTCTCTGAGAGTGAGTTGGACCTGCCACGCTCAACAAAGTGAAGGATATTCGATTTTATGATCTCTTTTGGCTTGCTGACTTCCCCTATTTTCGAGTGATGGGTTGTTGTTGTATTTGTTTTTTTCTGTGATAGAGTCATTGGTGATCCTGATTTCTCTCTTTTTCTTTTTTCCCTGTTAGTCATCTCTACTTTTTTCACAACTAGCTTGTCATACTTAATAAACGCTATATTTCCGTTCTTTCTTTCTTCTTCAACTTTTGGTTGCAACTGCTTCCGTATTTCAAGAACTTCCTTAGGAAAGTCCTCTTTTACATACACATTTGCGGGTAAGCTGCTCTTATTTTTCAGAATAAGGTGTTTCTTCCATGTTGTAGTTAGAGACAATTTCACCGGGCGATTACTTTCAGATATCTTTCCAATTCTTTGTACATCACTTATCTCTTGGCTATCTAGATAAGTCCCTGATTCTGCTATGATGTTTTTTACTTGATCGACTAATTCAAATACTGTCTTTCCCTTTTCTTCAATTCCAAAAATAATCAGGTTGTTCTTCCGTTTCTCCTTTTCCAAATATGATATTTTTTGCTTCAAACTTGTTATGTTGTTTTTGAGATTATGATTTTCTTCTTTTAGCGTTTTAAACCTTTCATCCAATGCTTCCATCACATTTTTAGTTATTTCTGCAGTTAATACTTTGGTTTGTTGATTAAATTTTTCGTTTAGTTTGGAGAGAAAAACTTCTAATTGTTCTTCCATGATTTATGTTGCTAACGGTAGTAACTGGTAGATTTTTTTATTTTGTAGTATGGCAACTCCTTCAAATGTTGTCAATGTTAGGTATCGCGACACTTGACAGATATCTGTGTCTGTCAACGTCAGATGTCGCCGACTGACAGTTTTGCAGATGATGTTGGTACTACCTGTATACTTCTGTGCGATGTCGTTAATTTTTGAGGTTATGATGAATTTACAATATGTTGGATGAAAATTACGCCAATTTCGAACAGTTTCGCTTTAAATTTATATTTGTTCACTGTTTTAGAAAGTTTGTTCGTAGTTTAGATTTCACTGCCTGTTTGTATTATCCCTTTTTCACTCGTAAATTAATAAAATCTGCGGAGCTGTATAACGTAGCTGTTTACACTTTCGTAACCGGAACCGGAAAAAAAGACAATATAAGACTAAGAAAAATAAACTTACTTTCAGAAAGTCGCCGGCCGTCATAGAGAAGTTATGATTGGGCCTGTTCCCCGACGGACAGACGTCGGGGAACCGAGCCGAGATGAGCTGGTGTTCACACGTTATATTGTTCACGTACTGATGCACCCACGGATGCACTGTGTATTTGTTAATCTGAAATTATAAGGAAAATGTTCTTTAAATTGTTGCGCAACTGTTGTATATACAGTCAAAGATCAAAAGTCCACTGCCACCGTGAGTGATGTTCACACGGCAATGCGTAAGTAATTTCATATTAATGTGCATAGAAACGCGTGCGTATGCATAAACACACGCACGCGTACGCACACGGATAAAAATATGCGTGTGCATGTGGGTATAAGCGCTGCAGCGCAACCGATAGTAGTCTTACGGTGGCAGTGGACTTTTGACGTTTGACCGTACATACATTGTAACAAAATCACGATGTATTTTTCGAACTACAATATTTTTTCGTTGGTGATTTTAAAATTGTTGCATTTTTAAATACAATTATTTTAGTGTGTTGGGCAACTGTTGCGCAATATTATGTTGACTAATCTGACATCAATTTATTTTCTTTAAATAATTTAACAAGCAGTCTTGACTACTCGGAAGGAAACGTTTGCGCAACATTTGCGCAATTGTCTAGCAACAATATTCGACGATGATCGACCACATAGTCGAGTAGTGATATACAAACCGCTGCTATTTTTTGGTTTCTAACTTAGAACCACCGCAAAGTATCGCGGGTTCGATTCCCGCACGGAACAACTCTTGGTGTGATCCACAAATTGTTGTTTGTGTGTCATGTGTATGTTGAACTTGGTTGTTTGTAAACGCACCCACAACACAGGAGAAAATAGTGTGTGGCCACAATTAAAAAAATAAAAATAAAATGGAACTAAAACTTAACGTACTATTAAGTACCTAAACTAAACCAAATATGTACTAACATCAAACCAATCTAAACCTTATATACAACACAACAAAACTCAAAACGACATACCTCAGTGCATCTGTTGAGTATAAAGTTGCTTGCGAACAGCATAAAGAGCGAGAATTCATTGCCTTGGCAGGAATAGCCTCGCGCGGCTACTTCCCACGCGAGCCGGCCTAGACCTGCGCCGGGAACTAGGACGCGGATCTGAGATCTATCACTGGGGACGAAAGATTGAGATTAGAGTCGAGATTGAGTAAAGGGAAAAGTGGAGCGTGGGATATGGAGTGACTGAGCGTTGGAGAGAGTACTCATTCTCCTCAAGGAAGAAAATACCGTGAAGGTACTACTGGAATTAGTTCAGGTTTTACATATAAATTTTAGACTTTCTTTAGATAGTAAGATTTATTTTGTAATCTGGCTTTTTACACCAAATAAACATTTTATTATTACTATTATTTATTATCGAAAGAAGCGAGAGTAATAAAGAGACAAAGAAAGATGGGTGTTAGATAAAGGAGTATGTAAGTATTACCCCCCCCCCCCCTCTTTAATGACCTTTCTCTTTCTCTACTTTCACAGGGAGTGTGCATTTAGATTCCAAGACTTTTTCCTTACCTATATAGGATTATGTAACAATTAGTCCTACACTAGTGAAGTAGTCAACAGCCTTAACGTTTTTTTCTTCTCTATTAATATCTTATGATTTCGTTGCGGGATGCAAGACAGTTATTCATGTCCCTGGGACGCGCCGGACTTCAGTGTTTCGGTGTTTTGATGTTTGTATCTACTATAGATGCTGGCTCACAGGAGTTGCAGCGGTTTTGGGAGGTTGTGGCGAGCTAGTCCTATTAAAAAAAGCCTTAACTACGATACACCTAAAAAATTTGTATTACCTATATTCGTCCAATGAGAACCGTTCCTCCATCTCGTCTAGTATGGGCTTGTAGCATTGTTTCCTCTCTTCGGCACCCATGTCGCTCCAATCACGGACTATGTTTTTTAAAACTGATTGTACCTGGAACAGTAATAAACTAACTTAATATATTTTTTTTAATAAAGTATCGTTTTAAGTGTATAATTATAGTAATGGCATTAAGTGACAGCACCAAAGTATCCCCGAAGGGGTAGGCAGAGGTGCAGATTACTACACTTAATGTCACTGTATAATGTAACAACCACTTTTCACTATTTATGTTATGAGTCCCATGTAATAGAGGGTTAGCCTATTGCCATATGTATACCGGGCACAATTCCAGACTCTGTGCTACCACTGAGAATTTTTTTAAAACCCAATAGTACTTTGCCCGACCTTCCGACCGATCGACCGACCGACCAACCCGCCCGCCTTTGATTGTACAGTGGCATTGGGTGCCGTAATGTGCACCTCACCTTCGTGGATAAAAGGCGTGATGTTGTAGTATGAGAAAATCTCACTTTAGGGCAACGTTTCTTTTAAAAGAAAATGTACACATAAGTGCACCTTTGAATACCCCTTCGGCGATTATCAGGACTTTTTTTTTTAAGGGCAGGAAAATCATCGAATGACTTCTCGCGCCTGGGTGAGGCGGGAGGGAGTGTCAGACTCTTACTGACTAAAAACCACCCCGTTCCTTCCCCTGCACGTCGAGCCGGAGCCCCGGTTACCCGTTAGGTTCTCCGCGACGATTATCAGGCCTAACGTTAAATAAACAAAAAACACGTACCTTCTCAACATCATGTTGCATTTTATGCTGTTTCTGCGATGCAATCTCACAATTATTATAATTACATCCAAAGCTCTCGACGCCATTCGTTCCTGACGTATCAGTGACCGAATGATCAACATTTTCAAACATTGTATCAACGTCTTTAATTATCGAATGTACTACATTATTGTTCGTGTCTAAACATTTCTTGAACTTCGCCAAATAAGTCTTATATTTTTCCAAGCGACGCTGATGATTTTGTGGTAGTATTGATATTATTTTCTCTGATTTGTGTATCCTGTCTAAGCTGCATAGTCTGTTAAGAAAAATATTTGTCAAATTAATTTAAAATCTATTAAATTTTATGTTATAATACCTATTACACCTACTGTTGCACATCTCTGCATCACCCCATGGTTGACTGTCAGAGAATGCCACCCGGCATTAAGTCCGCCATCGTATGTTATATACAGAAGTGTAAATAAATAAAATAAATAAATTAGACAATAAAAACAATAAATGAGACACTAAATTAATAGGGATGATGACAGGGTATGAAAATTAAAAAATCTCATTAGTCCGTCAGTTAAGTAATGAAAACATATTAGACACGTATTTTTTTTTTGTCGTATAACAAAACAATACTTTGATAAAACGAATCAAAGTTTAGGAGTGGGAGATAGCTACGTAATTTTAGAGTATAAATCGTACTCAACAGTGACGTCATGCGATAATATAAATCAATATATCTTCGAAACTATTCGTTTCCGTAAGAAAATAAAAAATACGTGTCTAATGTTTTTAAATAATCTACCAGAAAATTATTCATCTACCCTATTATTATGTTATTCGGCTTACTCACATAATTATTTGACGAGGACCTAGACTAGTTTCAAACTAGTTGAACGTTTGAAAATTTTACGTAAAAAACATCATAATTAAACTATTACATTTTGTAAGAATTGTTTTCATATTAATATCTTTCCGCCCGCGCTCGCATAGTAAACACCATAATAAATTATACTCCTTAACTTTTCTCAGGAATCACGCTATCTATTTTTGATAACTGGAAAAAAATCTATCCACTAATTTATAAGTATAGACAAACGTTACATAGGACTTTGTTTTCTCATATGTTTGTATGGTTGTCACTCTAAATAATGGGGTAGACGACTAATTTTTATTTTAATGTCCGTCTGGTAGATTATTTAAAAACATTAGACACGTATTTTTTATTTTCTTACGGAAACGAATAGTTTCGAAGATATATTGATTTGAAATGTCGCGTGACGTCACTTCTCAGTACATTTTATACTAAGAAATGACGTTTTAGACCCCACTCCTAAACTTTGATTCGTTTTATCTAAGTATTGTTTTATTATACAACAAAATAAAAAAATACGTGTCTAATATTTTTTTATTACCTAAGTTACGGACTAATTATATTTTTAATTTTCATACCCTGTCATCATCCCCATTGGATGGAATCAGGAACAACAATATATACCTAGTACAGTGAAACCTGGATAAGTGAGACATCAAGGGACCTGCAATGTCGTTTCACTTAAAGAGGTATTCCACTTACCCAGTGTCTCAGATATACAGGTATAAATAAATATCTGTCTCATTTACAGAGGGTTCGATTATTAGAGGTGGACTTGGAATTAGGTGTGGAATTTGTGGGTAGAATAAGAATGAGTAAACAAACAATGTTATCTCAATTACAGAGGTTTATGCATAGAAAATTTACTCGCTGTCTCAGTTATAGAGGTAACTATGATGATAAATCGAAAGAACAAATCCCAGATATAGAGGTTTACCTCGTCCCACTAACAGAGGTAATTCAGTGCCAAAGTGTTGGGACCTCAGCAAGAGTTCTAGTTATGGAGGTTTCTCACTTATCCAGGTCCCACTTAACCAAGTTTCACTGTATATAAACATTTTCTCGGCAAACCCGCTGACAAATGTTAATAATTGCATAAATATAAGTGGCAAGTCCCTTAGGACGTAACATCAAACCACAAATAAACAACTTCGTACAATAAGATATCTGAATCATATTTTTTTCCTTATACAGTTTACACGTGTCAACCGCTTAAGGCAACATTTAATTATGTATCGCGCGTCACAACTGCGAAGGAGGTAGGTAGACATATAGGTATTGTTGTTATACGGTAGGTAGACATACATAGTATAAAATAGGTAAATATTATGTACTATCTAATCTATTACCACATTCACGTGAACAACACAATAACCTTTTTGCAGCTTACCACCTACCACATACATTTCTGCACTACCCAAAGGATGAATGGCAGAGAATGCTGTTAGCATTAAGTAGTCCTTACGCAATAGGGTAGATGCCTAATTTTTATTTTAATGTCCGTCTAGTAGATTATTTTAAAACATTACACACGCATTTTTTATTTTCTTACAGAAACGAATACTTTCGAAGATACATTGATTTGAAATGTCACGTGACGTCACTTCTATGCACATTCTATATGTAGAAATGACGTTTTAGCCCCCACTCCTAAACTTTGATTCATTTTATCTAAGTATTGTTTTATTATACGACAAAATAAAAAAATATGTGTCTAATATTTTTTAATTACCTAACTTACGGACTATTTAGATTTTTAATCTTCATACCCTGTCATCATCCCAATTGTGAAAAACTTAAATAAATAAATAAACAACAGACGACAAACACCCCGTGATAGTTGACTGATTGACTGCTCAACTATGGGCCATATAAGAAGGGTTTACCAGTATATCCACCTTTTTAAGGGTGGGAAAATCATCCAATGACTTCTCTCGCCAAGGTGAAGCGAAAGGCAGTGTCAGATACTGACTAAAAACCACCCCGTTCCTACTCCTGTACTTCGAGCCGGAGCCCCGGTAACCTTATACGTTCTCCGCAGCTCCGTAATGGCATCAGCCCTATTGGGCCCCATCTAGTATCTCCACCTTGGTAGACGAGTTGGACATCGCAGTTCACAAGGTTCAAGTTTATAGAGAGCTCTGTTTCCCAGTCTCTGATAACTGTGTAGTATCTTATTTAACGCTTACAACACCCTCGGAAAGAAAACGTGTGATGATAAATATATTCTATTCTGCCTGCCTATATTTTTAAGGGGGAAATATCATCAACTAGCTTCTCAAGCCTTGGGTAAGGCGAGAGAAAGTGTCACTCTTACTGCCTCTACTCTTACTCCTGCTTCGACCTGGAGGAAAGTAATCTTCATCTAGAAATCCTGGGTGCAATTTATACCTACCTACTAACCGACCCCTTCAGAAAATGAAAGTCGTGATGAAACAATAATCGTAAAACGACACGAGTTTCCAATGACGGACGTATGTATGTGCAAGCCGCTGCCAATGAATATACGTCATAACGTTAAAAATATGAAATAAATACCACATTCACTTAAATACAATGTATCATTTGTAAATGTAATAACATACAGTCACTTTACTATAATAGTTTTTACTGGAAATAGATTAACTATTTAATCTAGTCTTTGCAGAAGCGACTTTTGATCAGTTTTTGATTTATTCCTGGGTCAGTGAAATATTCGCCGCAAAAAGCTTTACATAGAGAGGAGTGGAAGGAGGGTAGGGAGGTCTTTGCCTTGCAGTGGGACGACCATGGTTGAAAATAAATAAATAGTAGCAACTGCTAGCTGCCTGGTGACGTTAAAGACCACCACCACAAGACCAATTCTTCGAGCAGACGCGGACTAAACCCTGAGATCGCCGTCGTCAAGCATCTTATAGGCGATCCTATCTTTTCAATTGAGCACGCGCGGCTCGCCTCTCTCCAAACTGGCGCCCTAGACAGTGGCCTAGTTTGCCTTAGGGATAATACAGCTCTGTGATCTGCTTCAGAGCTAGAGCCAAAATAAAGGACAGCACATTTAACAGACGCTGAATAGCAGAAGCACTTTGTGAACCTGCCATTTACTGCTAATTCCAAGCTTGTAAGAAAGATTATGACAAACCCCACTTATCTACATTATCTACATATCCTATACTATTGGACTCTACAAGAGGACTAGCAGCAATGGACTGTCACGAGGTGTGGTTGTGAACGACGCAGGTGGCGTAAAATATAGATACCTTTGTTTAATATTATGGGGAATAACAGGATTGACGTTGTTACAATGTAAACGATAAATATAGGTGAAACATATCACACAAGTAATGTAGGTACAAATATTTATTAGTTATTCAATTTAGATAATATATTAGTAAATACTGGTCGATTCCAGAATGGAAATGTGCTAGCCATGTATATGTATTCAAATATCAACTTTATTATACTATGTTTAAGGATTGTTTTAATGAATAAACTAGAAAATTTATAAATTAAATATACTATTTAGAATTCAGAACAATAATTATTGTCCTTAATAGATAATTGTTCTGTTTTCCTATGCTGCTTTGGTTGATTGATACAAATGCAACTGCTTCTACTAAACATGTGATCCTGTGCCCAAAATAAGGAGGCTTACTCTTAAATCCAATTCCGATCGACCGACATTGGTGTTGTGAAATTTCGTATCGCCCATTGCATCCGTATTGGGTTTTTTAAGGGGGGAAAATCATCGAATCACTTCTACCGCCCGGGTGAGACGGGAGGGAGTGTCAGACTCTTACTGACTAAAAACCACCCCATTCCTACTCCTGCCCTTCGAGCCGGAGCCCCGGTAACCCATTAAGTCCTCCGCGGCTATCATCATTTGGGAGATATTGAATGAAGTAAATGGTATTGAGTTTGGCTTTATATTCCGTACTCTGAATGCTACTTCAACAGCTACAATTGTGGTGGTATAGTTTAGACATTGAATAAATTATTGAGATTTTAATGGATTTAAATTACATTGAGATTGGTTTTAAGAGTAAGCACCTAGGTCAAGAAAATGATAGACATTTTTAATGAATCTCATTGAATTCAGACCAATGTTTAGCGTGTTTTTTGAACCTAAAAGATCCTCAATCAATGAAATCAAGACTAAAGAGTATCTACGGGTATGGATAACACAAGAAAAGTTAGTGGTAAACTAAATTAATATAATTTGGATGCAACTGTAAATTAAAATTACTTATAGATACTTACATGACAGAACCATAGAGATCTTATTTAAATATGCTTATCTATGGTACAAAAAATATTTGTAATAGAAATAACTATTGCTAAGAATACATACATAACATCACGCCTTTTTATCCCCGAAAGGGTAGGCAGAGGTGCACATTTCGGCACTTAATGCCACTGTACAATGTAACACCCACTTTTCACTATTCATGTTATGAGTCCCATGTAATAGGGGGTAAGCCTATTGCCATATACCGGGCACATTTCCAGACTCTGTGCTACTACTGAGATTTTTGTTAAACCCAGTAATACTTTGCCCGAAGAATCGAACCCGAGACCCCTTGCCCGGCAGTCGCACTTGCGACCACTCGGCCAATGAGGCAGCTAAGCTTGCTAATAATAATACTTGAAAAATACTGTAAAACATGAACATGTGAGTTAACTAATTAGCATACATTTTAGTATGTATTTGTAAATTGAATATTGTGTGTTGATTTCCTATGTTCTAACTTTTCAGATACCGAAAATTGTATTAGATGTTATGATTGAACACATTACATTATTTTTCCAAAGAGTTGTGTATATTTTCAGGTATCTGATAGACATGACTCAACACAAATGGGTTCAAAAAGTAAATTGTATACAATCAAGTTTCCTGTAATATTATTTATATAATATAATAGTTTCCTGTGAGTTCCTGTATGGTAATAGGCTCACCCCCTATTACATGGGACTCATAACATAAATAGTGGAAATTGGGTGTTACATTGTAAGTGCCGGAATGTGCACCTATGCTTACCCCTTCGAGGACAAAAAGGCATGATGTTATGTTATGTTATGTCAAGTTTCCTGTATTCTAACTTATAAGATATTGAAAATTGTATTAAACGTTGTAATACAATTCACTATTTTTAAAAAAAATTGAAATGTAACTTCATAATAGCTTTTAGCCCATATATCCACAAGCGTTCATCAGTGACCGCTCTCCACTACACATAACTACATTATAGACCTTATTTCCAATGTTTAGAGACTAATTTCGCATGAAAAAATTTAGGGGATGATTTTCAACAATTTCCAATGGGTTAAAGCTGAGTATGTTTACCATGAACTGTGCAATGTGTAATGATGTTTAAAAGGAGAACCCATATCGTAAAAGGCGTTTGATAAGGAACTCTACTATTTTCAAGACACTCTAGAGGCATCCATGAACAGCATTCCGCAAGACGCGGTGATTGTCACTTTGCTACTCATATGAATATGAGCCTCTAGCTAGTTTGAAACTAGTAAAGTTCCTTGTCAAACAGTTACCAGAGTAAGCCGGAAACATAGTTATTAATTGAATACACATTATGATTAAGATTAGGCAACTGATAATCCTGAACTTTAAACCATGATCCATCTCTTGTGACAACCTGTATCATGTGTGTGGATCAAAGACTGATGATGATGATGTGGCTAAGATTGTCATTTATTATTTATTTTATATAGGCCTTGGTCGTCCTATGAAAGGCCTAATATGCAGCTGGCCCAAGTGGATGCAGGTCAGTACCTGCACCCACTCGGTGCCTATTGGGATTTTCCATAATGCCAGCGCACTTGGGGTGATTCAGAAATTATGATTCAACAGGGATTACTAACTGTACAATTAGATTGTGAAATAATTATTAATTTTTGTATTATTCAAAATTCCTTCATGGTATTCTTAGCGTTATCAATTAATTTAATTTATTTTAATTAATTAATAAGTCTAACTAAGTAGGTGTGTAGATTATTTATTCAGATTGATCAATAGTATTATTATTATTCAGATTTTTGGTCCTAAAGGTGTTTCCATAAGACTTAATATGTATCTATTTTTATAACATAGAGTCGCATAATTCTATCAATAAATACCATGTACAACTTAATGACTAAAGTAAATAACTATTGGAATATTTTTATTAAATCAAGCATTTCAAAATAAATTTAAGGCACAAATATTGCGCTATTTTAGTTCACCACCATAGAGACTACAGCAAAGAGGATAATATATATAAACAAAGGAGTTTCGGTTTCTATCTAAATAGGTTAATTAGATCGTCCGATTTGATCAAACAAAGAACTTGTTGCTACCCAGAATTTTACGCCGTTTCACACTCCAAACTATTTATAGAATCGTTACAAACCAATTCTGAGGGCTAAAAAGGCGTATTGTATGCATATAAATTGAATAATTACTTACTTATAATATTTGAAAGCGGTGACAACGGCGCGAAAATGCTCCCGTTCTTTCGCCTCATCAATTTCTTCCGCTGGTGATGCTGAAGACATTTTTAAACGACTGTTTTGTACACTCAAAAACTTATTTTATTAGGAAGTATACAATAGAATCACAAATTCGTCAGGAATTTGAGGAATTCGTATATTTTTTTATAAAATTCAACACCGACCAAGCCTTTCTCAAATGACGGAAGATCGACAGATATTAGTGACGTTCTACTTGCGACCAACTAGATTCTAATAAGAATCGATAACTCAAACCGTCAATTAAAAAACACCGGCTTATACTGAGAATTGTTAGCCCAATTAGCCTGTGGGACGAAGTGATAATTTTAAAGCTGAAATAAACCTTAAAACATATTTAGACCTAAATCCATGCTATACTAATCTTAAAAACCACTTAAATAGTGATGTATAAATTCATAATATTTATCGATTGCAGCAAATCTGAACATAATCAGGATCTGTAATGAATTATTAAGTTAAAAAACATTTTTCTCTATTTATTCATCAAATAAAGGACTGAAAAAATAAAAACATGTTTTTTAATAGGAACAAAACAAAATATTGTATTTTTAATGAGATAAGGCTGACCTGACAACGAGGAAACGAAACGGCTTCAATCAAAATGTCTGGCGTAGTGTGTTTGTCAACATTCTATTGATTTTTCCTGTTATATTATAGAAATCAAGTTAAGTAATCAACACAACATCAAAATCAATCGCAATCAGTTATTTAATTAACAAACCACTTCCGCATTGCTAATTCAGTGCTATCACACGTCAACAAACTTGAAAAATACAACTTTCACAAGAGTACGCTAACTGCGACATAAAAATAATCATTAATTCACTATTTATAGTATATTTTTAATGTTTAATACTTAGGAAAGTGTGTGAAAAGTTCATTACCTAGTAAAGTGTTAGAATATACAGTGTAATTTGCGTTTAATTACTGCATTCCACCATATGATAGTGAAGGCAGAAAAATCGATATTTCTGCAGTGTCTCCGTTGCTAGGCTGTAGCGCTTACTACATGCAGTGCAACATACACGCGTGACGACTTAATTTCTCTCTAACATGACGTGAGTAACAAAGTTTTTGTTATAAACCATCTAAAAACATGATGGAAGGAATTATTTCCTACAGAGTGACACCACTTCTGAAATGCATAGTGCTGTTCCTGTTTATTTTTACGGCAAAGGTACTCACTTCTCGGCCTCAAGAATCTCAAGATATAAGGAATGGCATTCATCATCTAAAACCATCCCACTATGTGAGAACTTTTACTAAGTACCATCACAGGAGAACTATTCAATGGAATAATCAACAAGATTTGACTAATGAGTGGCCAGTTGTAAATGATCATCCAAGAGTTATAGGGAAGAGAAGTGTTGATTCCCCCAACTACGTAGAAGTAAGAGATGTCTCTAAAGTATACCAACATGCTAAATTATTGAAGAAACGAAGCATACCAGATGATGCAATTGAGAAAAAAGTTTCTAACACCCTTATCAAGCGTAAATACTGGCCAGCAAGACATATGAGGATTGAAAAGAGAAGTTTAGATGTTCCGAATTCAAATGAATTTGTGGGGTCTTCTCGGGAGATCCACAGACTTGATCATTTCACTTCGGATACTGTAAGGGAGAACATTGTTGGGTCATTTGAGAAGAAAGCTATTAGTTCAGGTAGAGATAAAGGAAAGAATGGTTTGTCCAATGATATCAAGATGTATAAAGTAAAAGCAGCTGTAATACCAACTGAAGAACCGACAACCAAAGGTCCCACAATATCATGTTTGTACAAAATTCATGATAGTGTGGCTATGAGTGTCACTCCTTCATATGCTGATGAGAGGAATGCTCAGCTTATGGTTGTGAATGACAGTTTTGGTAGGTCAAACTTTTTAAACTTCAAATATTACTCTTTTAAAGCTACCAAGGGGTGGGCAGACGTACAATGCTCATGCATATACTATACCAGTTTTTACTTGTTATGAGTTCCATATGTTATTTATAGTTATGGTAATACCTCAGACTGACTCTACATCGAGACTAAAATTTTTTGATTAACTAAACAAAATTCCATAATATCTTTACCCAGAGTCTTACTCATTGGCCGAGTGATCGCAAGTGTGACTGCCGGGTAAGGGTTCTTGGTTTTGATTCCCAGGTATGGCAAAATATTACTGGAGACTGGAAATGTGCCCGATATATGGCAATAATCTAGTTGCCTATTACATGGGACTCATAAAATAAATAGTTAAAAGTGGGTGTTACATTTCACAGTGGCATTAAGTGCCGTAATGTGCACCTCAGGAATCGAACCCGAGTCCTCATGCTCAGGAGCTCAGACATGCAACCACTTCAACAAGACACTTAACCTTTTGAACGCCAGAGCAAAAACACATGAACCTGCCTTCGACACCAAGCCACAAATTCCACGCAAATTTCTACGAAAGAAATAGGAATTATTGGAATCCCTATTGTATCAACAATAGGGATTCCAATAATTCGTGTTTCTGGTTCCGCTTTTTCTGTCATGTATTTGTGTCGTTGACGTCCAGGGACAGTTTTCGCTTGTCGCGTATATGTGACATTGGCGCTCAAAAGGTTAAATGATTCTAAAACAATTTCATTATTTTTCAGAAACTGGTCCCATATCAGAGACAACTCTACCGAATGGAGAAGTGGCACAAATAGAACAGTGCACAGGTACTAAAGCTTCATGCTATACTCTGTGGCATCAGGACAAGGACGCCAATATCACTGTGTTGGGCCAAGGTAAGGGATAGATATACTTTATTTATTTTTATAGAATAGCACCCTACCTATTTTATAATTTCATAACTGTAGACAGAGGCCGTACGAGTTTGTTCCGCGTAACCGAAACGAGTACGCGTTCGCAGCTCTGATTGGCCGGCTCCGATGAATCAACCAATCAGAGCGCCTCAGATCCTCCAGTGATAAACGACCGACGCTGTCCATGGGAGCATTTAGTAATAAGAGAATAACTCTGCCCATGGACATCTGGAACACTAGAGAAGGTTCAAGCGCGTTTCTGGCTAAATAGCCAATTCCCAATAAAAAATAATCCCAATACCTATTTAGTTATTGGTAATTTTTGGGGTTCAGGATGGGGACGGGATTGTGTCTTCGATAACGTCAGTCACCCGTGAGGCTTCCGATAATGCAAGCGTTGTTTTAGGGCGATTTTCTGTGTAGTATTACTCCAGTCTAACCAACCCATATGTGCCGAAGCATGACGCTCTTAGGTAAAAATCTTCAACTGAGTGAGGCAATATAACGGCTAGCCGCCCTTCACGTTTCGTTGCTCTTCCAATTTAATATATAACCACGACACAATCGCTATGGTGACCGCATCAGGCTATACGAACCACCTAGGCAGTCAACCGCTAATACGGAAAAGGGCTTAACGAAAATTATTTTCTTAATTTTCTATTATACAGTGAAACTTGGTTAAGTGGCACCTGGATAAGTGAGAAACCTCCATAACTGAAATTCATGCTGAGGTCCCAACACTTTGGCACTGAATTACCTCTGTTAGTGGGACGAGGTAAACCTCTATATCTGGGAATTTTTCTTTCGATTTATCATCATTGTTACCTCTATAACTGAGACAGCGAGTAAATTTTCTATGCATAAACTTCCGTAACTGAGATAACATTGTTTGTTTACTCATTCTTATTCTACCCACAAATTCCACACGTAATTCCAAGTCCACCTCCATTAATGGAACCCTCTGTAAATGAGACAGATATTTATTTATACCTATATATATATCTGAGACACTGGGTAAGTGGAATACCTCTAAACGACATTGCAGGTCCCTTGATGTCTCACTTAACCAGGTTTCACTGTATTTTTTTTTATTTATATATTTGATGGGCCGACGTTTGACTACTATCTCGCCTGGTGGTAATGATGCGGTCTACGATGGAGCACTTCGTTCCATTAGCAACCTATTCACTCGGGCCTTGAAGACACCCAGGTTATATCGCGGTTATTACCTATAAATATAA